CTTCGGTAGCTCTGGGTTCAGGCTTGCTCAGCTTGATGTGCTGCGCATTCCTCTGTTTGGTACAGTGACTGCATAGCGACTCAATGAAAAGTTGGGTATGAGCCTTCACCATTCAAGCCTCAAGACGGACCCCTTGAGCCAAATGGCTCCTCTGGCAATTTGGTTGAGGGTGTAGGGTTTTGGCTTTAGGCCTTTTGGGTTTAGGTTTGCGGCAAGCCTTGGCTAAACCTCAAAACCCAAACAATCTGCAGACAGTACTGGATTTACAGGAAGCACAGCGGGTGCTTAAGGGACTGAAGGACAGACCCTTATAAGAACCCCTAAGGGTACATGGAGCTAGGGCTAATTGTCTACTTAGGTAGACAGGGTCTGCATGGAACATATTTTGGGCATGTAGGGTAGTAGGATGAGGGATCGCTTCTAGGAAGTCTTTCCCGGTACCCCTCGCAAGCCCAAAAAATTGAATACTTGCACAAAACTAGGACCCTAAACCCTGAGTCCGAAGCCCTTTAGGCTTCCCTTCGAAGACTGACCTCCGTGAGCGTGTGCTCCGGCATACGGCGCTCCGGTTCTTTGGGCGGCCTGCTGGCGGCAGCTGTAAGTCTGCGCTTTAACATACAAAAATAGTAAGCTGTCATATTATGTTGGAGATAGGTGGTAAATGTACTACAATGGGCATAAAAAACACATAACAAAGTTGTTTAGGGCTTAGGCGTTCGGGTTTTTATATCCTAAACCTTAAACCTTAAACCTTAAACCCCAAAACCTAAACCCTAATTAAGGTGTATATATATATATACAATATATAAAACCTATGTATATTTACATATACAACATATATGTGTTTTTCGGGGGGAATATGGGATGTCCGTAGAAGAAGCATCGCCCAGCCTCCACTGGTTGTCGGGCTTCCGAGCGCTTCAGGGTTTTAGGGGTTTAGGGTTTAGGGTTCATGGTTTAGGGGTTTAGGGGTTTAAGGGGTTTTGGGGTTTGGGGCTTTGGGGCTTTGGGGGCTTGGGGGCTTTGGATTTTGGGGTTGTGGGGTTTTATGGGGGATTTTTAGGGTTCTGGTGTTTTTGGATTTTGGGCATTGAGGTTTGGGGTTCTTGAGCTTTACGGCTTTAGGGTGTTAGGGAGGGGGGCAGGGAGAGAGAAAGAGAGGGAGGGTTCAGGCCATTGGGGCTTCAGGGTAAACGACGACGCCCGGTAGCCCAATCCTTTTTTCCGTGGTTTTGTTTCCTTTTGCAAATCCGATCTAGACAGAAATGGGCTTGCGACCCTAAACCACTAGACCCTACACAACCCTCGACCCTAAACCCTTAACTCCTTGAGTCCTAGGCGACAAACCCTACATCCCAAACCCTTCACCCTACCCGAAACCCAAGTTCTGTTGTTGAGGGTTTCGGGCTTAGGGCTTTCGGGACCCTAAACCCTAAACCCTCAACCCTCAACCCTAAACCCTAAACCCTAAACCCTAAACCCTAAACTCCAAACCCCATACCCTATACCCTGCCTACTCAACCCCGATGCCGGATGGCCAAGCCTGGATGGCTCGCTTGTGGCAGACGTCACCTGCTCTGGAACCCTAAACCCTAAACCCTAAACCCTAAACCCTAAACCCTAAACCCTAAACCCTAAAACCAAAACCCTAAACCCTAAGTCCTAAACCCTAAACCCTAAAGCCTAAAACCCAGAACCCTGAGGGTTACGCTCTTAAGGGCATGAAGGCTTTAACGCCAATGACGAGGTTCCGTGGTCAAGAACAAAGGGGACATGACCAAACGTCCAGGGTTTAGTGTTTAGGGTTTAGGAAGCCCCGGACACCTCACTTTGGATGGCGGGCAAAAGGCTCGTTTCACAGAGACGCTTGCAAGCTCGTGTAGGGTTCAGGGCTCAGGGTTTAGGGCTCAAGATTTAGGGCTTCGAAGCTTTGAGGGTTTGGGGTTTAGGGTTTAGGGTTTAGGGTTTAGGGTTTAGGGTTTAAGATTTAGGGTTTCGAAGCTTTGAGGGTTTGGGGGGGGGGGGGGGGTTGGTGAAGGGCTTCAGGGCTTGGGCTGAACCACCTTGTTCTCAATCATCGACCGCAGGTCCTCCATCCTCGGACAGGCAAAGAGTTGCCGTTTAGGGTTTAGGGTTTAGGGTTTTTAGGGTTTAGGGTTTAGGGTTTTGGTTTGGACTTTTTTTCCCGGGGCTAGGGGTCGAATTCCTGATATGTTGGGACGATTCGCGTTTAATTCGGGACTGCCCTTCAGAGCTACCCAGATTTCTGGGAGGGTGTGGAGAACAACCTCATCTGAGATGGACTCGCATGAAGTGTCAGATAGCCATACAGGGTACCACTTTCTAGTAGATCCCCTCATACAGGGTACCGCTTTCTAGTAGATTCTGAGAGTACTGATCCCGAAATCCTAAACCCTAGCCCCTATACACCAGAACTCTGTCTGAACTAAGAAACACTGAAGCCAAGAAGGCCTTTAACCCAAAACCCCTCAACTTAAGGGACAGAAGGAAAGTTTAGTAGGGCTTAGGGTTGAGGGCCTTGATCCTTCCAAGCAAACCGCTAGGGGCAACTTTGGAGAAAATGTGGGGCTACTGAGGTGTAAAGGCATACACATAGCTCAAACCGAGACCAAAAAAATGCAAGTTTGTATGAAGAATTCAGACCCTAAACCCCAGCCACCAAACCCTAGACCCTAAGCCCTAAGTGTGAACAGGAGCTTCGCTCCAAAGCTCCGGGAAAAGGGGCACCCAGGTACCAGAGTTGGGCAGCAGCAAGCAAGTGCTTGGAGGTTCATTACTACTTATTAGCCAATCATAACTGTGCTTCTCACCCACGCATAAGCCTCTTAAGTGCCCAATGTGGCCATAAGTACACTTAGCAGTACAGTTATCTTTTGCTAATAAGTACGATGAACCTCCAAGCGTTTCAAGCAGATGCTGGCTTGAATGCGGTGTGCACCGGCGCAGCTGCCAATAACGGCTGCTCGCAGTTGGCACCCGAACAAAGACTCCCAAACAAGCTCTTGAACCCAGAAGGGAAGATACAAATCGCAGGCCCACTTACCCTTAAGCCCCACCCTAAACCCGACCTTTTAACATCAGCACAAGGCACACGAAATGCCAACTTCAATGTACGACTCTGCCTCCCTCAACGTTGACTTGCCAAGTCATCTACCAAGATTGTCAGCACAACGAGGAAACATTGAAACAGTGGAGATCTGGAAACTGTCCAAACTTGTCAAGACCCAAAAGCCTTCCAAAGCTTTCAAATAACACCACACCGAAAGCCCGAACCCCTAAGCCCTAAGAGCTAAAGCCCAAGACGGCTTTGAGAAGGCTGCAGTAACGGAACCCTGAACGCGAAATCCTAAACCCTAAGCCACTAAACCCTAAACCCCACGAAAACCGAAAACCGAAACCCTAAACCCTAAACCCTAAACCCTAAACCCTAAACCCTAAGCCCTAAGCCCTAAGCCCTCAGCCCTAAGCCCTAAGCCCTAAGCCCTAAACCCTAAGTCATGTTGCAAGCCGTTGGGCTTGGCGTTTGAGCTTCGGGGCTTTTGAGTTGGGCCTTGGTACGATACTCAGGTGATGCGGTTGAGGGTTTAGGGTTTAGGGTTTAGGGTTTAGGGTTTAGGGTTTAGGGCTTTGGGTTTAGGGTGTACGGTTTAGGGCTTAGGGTTCAGGTTTTAGGGTTTAGGGTTTAAGGCTCAGGGTGGTTGCCGCCAGGTTTCATCGACTTCTCGTCCGGAGACATGTCTGCTATCCTGGCGGCTGCCGCATCTACCGACAACCCTTCTTAGAAAACCCTAAACCCTAAACCCTAAACCCTAAACCCTTCTAAGGTTGGAGCCATGGTCCCTTCGTATGGTCCCTT